TTTTTCCGCCGGTACAACCCTATGGATGACGTTGACCTTGGATTTTTTGCGCGCAGTGAAGTACAAAACAACACCTGCAATAATCAACCCGAGTCCGAGCAGCAGAAGAATTGCGCCAATGTACGGCAGGCCTTCGAGTATTACGAAGAGAACAATTCCAGCGATGATCAACAGTACACCAGGAATGAATAGTATCTGTCCAAGAAGACGACGTTTTCTATTACTGGCATCGTAATCGCGATATCCAGGTTCGTGTATCACGCTTTCTAGATTCTCTTCGTGTTCGTCCATGTTTGCTGGGTTAACTGTAAACAGACAAACGTGGATTGAGTTTCCTATACATAAATACCGACGTATTACATGTATTAACTTCTTCGTAATCGATGTCAATAACAAATCTGCTAAATATTAGATGAAAATAAATGTATATGATTTGAGCATGGAAGGTACTAACGTTAGTACCTATGATTTGAGTAACTAATTTAGTTGGACTAACTAAAAGTACCATTAATATTCCACTGAATTTTTCGGAGATTGCGCAACAATCGGGCGCACGTTCGTGATCGTGATCATTCCACTGCTAGTGGGTAAGCTAGGGTAGTAAATCAAGCACTTGTATTTTTGTTGTGTCCGCAAATAGTCCAGTCAATTTTTGCAATAAATTTGTGTGTATTGGTTGTCTCTCTGGAGTGGCTGCCACATTGTTGAAGTTTAGTGGTGATCCCTACGAATGCTGCCCTCAGCGTTGAAATTGTTGGGAAAAAAACAATCGTAGATCACTAGCTCTTGTCACATTGTTTCGTCAATGTAATCACACTGTAATCACATTCTAGTAATCAGACATGTTTCATGCATACATTTCCATGTGGTCGAAGACTTGGTGACGGTATGCAAGTTCTTTCAATCAATAGTCAATGAGTCTGGGAGGTCATACTTGAGAAAATAAATAATAAACAACCGAGCTTAGCCCTAATGTACACCCACACTTGTTATTTTATAAGAATTTTAACTTCAAAAGTTACTTCTGACATTGTCTATTATATTAAATAAAATCATACAAATCTGATACAAATTAATGTTGTTTCGTCACTCGGCCCAAGTGCCACGCCGCATAGCATCACCGACAGTGTTAACTCCCTTGACTGTATTGTCGACTATTACCGTGACCGCTACCCCGCCCCCTCAAACTACGACAGCTTGGCGACATGGTCATCGATAAAGACAAACATATATAAATGCAATGACGAATATTCCAGCTCGCGGTGATCTATACGGGTGACTATACAGGTTACGGGCGGGCCGGGGACGGCTGTTTTACGCCGACAGCTCCAAGGTTGTCCCGGTAGGTTGCAGGTTACGAGGATTCATTAAACCAGTTCATTACCTCCATGATTAAACTGAGCCGTGCTTGAAATCCACTGATTCTGGAGCCGTTAATCTCGGTTTAAACCGACTCACCTTGATCTATCCCGCCGTGACAATGTATTTTAAATGCAGCAAAACTGTGACAACCAAATTATCTCAAAAAGCTAACAGCGAAGTCGAAAATCCTACGTCCATAGCGACGTCAGCGTTGTTTGATGGGCATTGTTGTGATGGTCAAATCATGTGTATATATATAATACAACAACCGCGCCTCAGTCTGTGTGTCCTTAAAGCATGTATTGTCAGAACACTCTCTTTTGTCCTTGCTGCCCTGACAACCAAACATTAAAAGGCGAGTGTTGTTTGATCAACACGCACTTCTATTGCGCATCATAATGACGTCACTCTTCGTTGTCGACGACATGACAAAGTATGATCGCTGTCCACGATCTCCATATCATCTAGATCATTACACGATGGCATTGTTTTAACCTGCATTATATACACTTTATTAATTTGGTCGTCGGTGACCATACTTCGTATTTGTTTTTCATTCAAACATTTGAAAATAAACACACATATACATGAATTTGTTACTTATTCTAATTTAACGCAGAACAATACTTCCCTCCGTAAGCTGTGCCCTCAAGCGTCGAGACGCTTATGTGACGTCAACATGATGGCGTAGAAGAAGAGTGTAAGAAACTCTGAATTGGGATAATGTAATTTGCCATTTACAAAAAGTCGTAAATTTCTGAAACTTTATTTCAAAAAATTAGAATTTCATTTCATTTCCCACCAACATTTTGCTGTATCATTTTGTATATTATTTTCTTACAATTTTTTTGTTAATTTTGGTCACACTTTGTTCATTGGCTACAGATCTTGATCAAGATTGTTGTAAAAATGTTGAAAAGGTCATATAGGTTTAATTTATGACAAGAGGTTTTCACGCTTGAAGAGTCAATACACGCTACGTGGTCATACTAGTGTCAGTGTCACGTGACAGCTTTGTCAGGGTACGTTATCGAGTCTATCATTTTGTTCGTTCTCGTACGCATCTACTACTCGTATACTAAAAAAAAACGCCCTCGAATGGTAGTCAGGTCCATGTCTGATCAAAATTTAAAAACGTTAACTTGGTGTACATACGAACTGGTGAGCATGCGCACTGTGAACCAATGACAATTACGTAACCTAACAACATATCATGTTCATAATAAACCCAGACCAGGCATTTTTAAATAATATAATATGTATAATAATTATTTACATTGCAATTTGTTCAGCTCAGTTTTAAACTTTAAAGAAACTACTCAAACTTTTTGACAAGAAATATGCCAAGACCCGTGAAGTTCAAATTCCCATAATGCATCTCACTTTGTCTTTCAATACAATAACGGCAACTATCGGCTGCTAATTAATGTGCCAACATTTTCGAGAACATTCCGTCAGCAACACCCTGGACGGCAAAGCATGTATTCGATGACACGACTAAGATATTCTACACAGAAATAGTGCGTTCAGAAAGCTGTATTAAAATAATCAGGATTTCTGCAAACTGAACAACTGACGGATATACGATTCTGACAATGTCCGTAAGCTGTGCCTTCTATGCATCGTATGTAGAATCAGTTCATACTGCACACACTTCAAAAGATAGCTCAGGGTTCCAATGTCATCGTGACGTTAGGGATCATGTAAATCGTCCAGTCTGTCATCCACGCACATGGTGTTATGGCGGTGGTGGGCCAGTGTATGGCTGATACGGATCACTCACTGCTTGTCCGTATGTGGGCGGTGGCGACTGTCCATACGATGGCTGACCATATGCTGGTTGGTCTGTCTGTCCATATTCCATTTGTCCGTACGGTGGCGCGGTTGGTTGTCCATAGGCTGGCAGACTCGGAGTACCAGGCAATGGCGGACCAGGTTGGTAGCTGTATAGAAGTAAAATAAATGTCATTAGCATATTGCGAGTATGGAAGCGTACTTCATAAATGTTGGGATGTATCCCAAGTCAGTATATTCACAAGCATATTAGTGGTCGTAGGGGGCGTAATCTGCAGTAAGTATACAGTTTAAGTTGTTAGCAGCCCACAAAATCAAATTCGTTAAATTAAACTGAGTTAATACAGTAGTCAGTTTCTACGACACCATCATCACATAACAAAAAGCTGACCAATAGGTACCACTAATCAGTTGTCTTATAATTCCAATAAACAATGTCCTCTCTACACAATTATTATGGTATTTGAATTCATTAGGAATTCTAGGAGGAGTAATAGATGATATTGCCTTTTTATTGGAAGTGTTGTTTATGTGCGTCTGCTTAATTGATTGACACTTTACCTTTGCGGGTACGGATCGTTCTGCCACCCGCCTGCGGGAGCTGGTGGCCCACTATACGCAGGCAGGTGAGCCCCTTGTCCATATTCAATGCGCTGTGTTGTAGTACCCTGTGTGGCTTCTTTGTGAGCAATCGTCTGAACTCGGTTTTTGTTTGTCTGGTACCTGTGTGCAGCGACAGCCCCAATACCGATCATGACAACACCTCCAAATATCATACATCCGGCGATGTAAAAAAAGTCGATCGCAACGCTTATAACAATAATACCAGCTACGCTTAATGAGATTCCGATCACAATGAACAACATGGCCCTTTTGAAAATTGACGGATCATCGTATGCTCCATAAGGCATGTTGACTGCAAGTCTACCGAGTAGAAAAAATATCAACATATAAGTTCATACAACTTATTGTTTATGTTTATTTTTTTCTCACTTGCCGGTTTTCATTATATATATATATATATATATATATTGATTAATTAATTGATTGTATTTATATATATTTATTTGCACACAAAAATAATCATTATAAAAATAAGCAAGCATATAAGCATTCAATTGAAACTACCTCTCATTATAATAACATGGACTTACATAGTTTGGAGGTGTATATTATAACAATAGCGACAAAATGAAAGTAAATGACACACCCATACCTATTATACTAATAGTACAAAGAAAATGTGTAACATTTCTGTCGAAGTATTGTACAATAACTGAAAACACAAATAGTTATATCCTAAACTTGATTTTGTTTGGTTAGGGCATGAAGTTATTCTATTATGCCTTCATTATAGGGACATCGTGGAGGTAGAGCAGAGTGACCTCCATGGGTTTTAAGGTGAGTAAGAACAGTACGTGTTCATTTACATGTCGGACACCAAGCGACTGCACAAAGATAAAGTAGGCTCTATATTTTGCCGTTTTATGTTCTCAAATCATTGATTATTTCATCGGTGAATGAAAAGCAACTAGTTAAATTATCTTGAACTTCGCCACCACCTGAACGGCCATAAAAATGTTAACTGTTCACAATTCAAAACATATATAAACATATAATATATTATTTCACTCATCAAAACACTTAGTATAAGCTCACCTGGACGGAGTTCAGGACGGAGTCTCTCTCTATTATAGTTATGGTCAATACAAATATAAAGAATGCACCGATGTTTCAAGATTTCTTCAAGACTGTCCGGAAACCACGTCACTCAAATCAAAATGGCGTCCACTGCTAGGATTGCACACGTAATTGTGTGCCATGCTATTGTCATATACCTTTGTCTGTTGTTATGCGAAGTAACAATTGACGACCTTGTGGGCAAGGTCATACAGTGAAGTCGTTCCTCAAGCAGGCGAGAGGCTTACTTGAATATTCGAATTTAACTTCACAATAACGTTAGTCATTGACGGCGTCGTTTCTAGTAAGACACCTGTGTTATGGGTAAAACGGTGTGGTGCGCTCTTAGTTGAAGTTGCAACAGTAATTTTATTTGTCAATAACTTCATATCGAAAATCACATAATCAAGCAAATATGTATTATCAAATCGAATCATTAATAAGTTATGTTGGTGTATAACGTTTAAAAAAAACATTGTATATGATTTTTGGAAACGATAATATACATTGCATGTATTTGGATTGCGAGTTGAATTGCGAATTGAATTGGATTGCGAGTCGTTCTTTATTGGTATAAATAAACTTGCCCAATCTCTTGTCCTGACTCAACAATTAACATCGTATGTAGTGTTATTGTATAGAATGTCGTCTCTATAAATGATATAGCTATAAATAAATATAAATGCACAATATTTACTAGTAATTTTATTAATAAAACATTTATATCGCAGTACAACACTCAGTATTTTACTTTGAAAAAAGGTCATTTTGACCTCTCCAAAAACACTAAAACATTACAGTTTTGTTTAAAATTACACGCGTTTGAATTTAAATAGTGTTTATATACAAAAGCAAAATTTTTTTCGCTATTTACAGTGTAAAGATTACTCGGAATAACTGTTGTGATTTTATTTTCAATTTGCTAATGACCACCCGATCATTAACAAAAAAATAAAACTATTTACAACGACGTTGGTATCCCAGAAGAGATGATTTTTGATGTTCGAGTAAATATTCACACACTTTATGCGACAGCAACGACGTCACGTTTGAGGTGATCAGGCACGCAAACAACATAATTAAGTTTTTGTTAACTTTTAAGAGCTTTGATTGGTGTAAAGTATAAGGAAGCACAAACAGTCTGATTTAGAGATGTAACCAACACCGAAAATTCCTAACGTATCTAAATGTAACTTGTATCGTTATCGTAAGACAGTGGCGGATCCAGCAAAATGTATTGGGGGCGGGGGGGGGGGTAAGCTTCGCTTAAGATATACGGAGCGAAAATCGCAGAGAAGCTATGCGTAATCCAGATGATACGAATCGTCATGCGTTTGGGGGGCCATGCCCCCCTCTGGATCCGCCACTGTCGTAAGAAATCCTCGCTGGACTACGAGAGTACCGCTCAGGTCGGCGTGGGGTTGACGTGACGTCAACGTGACGTGATCCATTGTCACTGCCCGTAAAAAAGGCTAAATTTTATTTTGTTTTCATGAACTTCAATGATTTTGGTATGTCTTTCTGAAAGTGGGTATGAGGAGTCAAATATTCAGAATGTTACATGCAATTTACAAGGATGTTAAATCTTATGTACGCACTAATAATAACATTAACACTCAGCTGTGATAAAGACTTTCCGTTTTCGACATTGTGAAATTCTTTCGTTTTTATGCAGAAAAATAAAGTATTTTTTACCAAGTAAAATCATTTTTATTAAAGTTATTGTTCATATATGAGTTGTTGAACACATTACATAGTTTGTAATTTTGTTCATCTTTTTTCAGCCATAATTCAAGACAAAAAGAAGACAATAATATAGAAAATTGTTCTTTTTCTGTAATATTCTTTTGTAATCGGCAATTGTGAAAATTATTTATGAGCGCATAAGAAATACTAAGCCAACCTGGACAAAATTTGGTAAAAGATGTGTCCATATTTGGTAAAAGATGTGCCCATATTTGGTAAAAGATGTGTCCATATTTGGTAAAAGATGTGCCCATATTTGGTAAAAGATGTGCCCATATTTGGTAAAAGATGTGCCCATATTTGGTAAAAGATGTGCCCATATTTGGTAAAAGATGTGCCCATATTTGGTAAAAGATGTGCCTATATTTGGTAAAAGATGTGCCCATATTTGGTAAAAGATGTGCCCATATTTGGTAATTTGAGAGATGTGCGGTATAGTCACGAAATGTTTGATGTAAATAGATTTGTAAATATTTTTTTGTTTTTTGAACTTCAAACACTAAGTCAGTGTGTGATTGACATTGGACTGGAAAATTGGTTTATTACCATTTGTATATGATGTAAAACATATTTATTCACTGTGAAAATTCGAAATCGTGTGCATGTGTTAGCACGTATTTTGCTGTTCCCCTTTATTGGCTATGTACTAGAAAGTGAAAGAAAACATGGAAAGCGTGGAACAATAAGAAAGTCTATGTTTTCTTTGTTATGCAAATAAGGTAGACCATGGATATGACTTTTATTAGCTTGTTTACTCCAACTACGCAATCTTTCGTTAGTTTGTTTTTCCCCAAATAACATTGTCGTTACACAATGTGTGGCAGCATTTATGTTACATGTAATGACTTTGCGCAAAAACCTTTCCAGAGAAATGTAATATTTAATTTAATGATTAGTTCAAATTGTGGCGTTTATACATATCATTATTATATTTAAGCCGAGGACATTGAAGTATTGAATAAACTATACTTTCTTCGAAAAATTCATTACTTTATTAAAAATTCATAAAAATATGTACAAGTTTGTATTTAGTTCGAAAATAATATATGCAAATCAATTACGCGCATTCAGAATCCATATAATCGTTTCAGTCATGTGATTTCAGACATACATCTACAATACAAATGCTCACAATTTACCAATATAATTTCTTTAACAAAAAAAATGCCATCAATCAGTAACACAGTCATATCAACCTTTCAAAGCTTCACATTTGTCGTGACTCGCCATGTACAACGAGGGTTCCTCGCTAACTACGCAACACATGTAATTAAAAATGCATTCTTAGTTTGACACCGTTAATCGAAAACGCGCTGCATGATATTTTTAGGGCAGTTATACCGACATGCATTGTGAATGTAAAATGTCAGACCTTAGAACGGCCCGTCTGGACGCCAAGCCAATTACATTCTGCTGTTGGTAGATGCTATATTTAATTGTTTTACCTAAACGAGGCCTTTACTTACTCCAGGTCGTATATTGATCAACAGATTGGATGCACAGTGGTCACTTGATTTGACATGTGCGTATTTTAAAAAGTTTTCCGTAGTATTTCTAGTTCTAGATACTATTTATATTTATTGTGTCGCACATTTGCCGTGACGTCACGTCATCTCCATGTTTATGACGTCACTTAGCGCAACAAATGTTCATAGATGCACTGGTGTAAAATGTTCACGGTGGTGGTTGGCCGGAGTAAGGCCGGTACGGTTCGTTCGCTCCTAATTGGCCGTAAGGCGGCGGTGGCTGACCATATGCTGGTTGGTCCTGTGGACCACCGTAACCCTGTTGACCGTATGGTGGCGGCTCTGCTTGTCCATGTGGTGGCTGTCCGTGTATTGGTTGCTGTGGTTGTCCATACGATGGCTGTCTGTATGCTGGTTGATGTGGTTGACCATAGGCTGGTTGTCCGTATGCTGGTTGTTGTGGTTGTCCCGGAAGTGGTGGCCCAGGCTGATTACTGTGTCAAAAGAAAACATCACCACCATGAATGTTATAATAACAATATAATATAACAACATAATGATAAATCAAAATAAACGTCTTTAAACAAACAAAAAAAACAATGTTAAAGATATAGGCTCAATAGAGACAGACATGTATATCTCCTTGGAATGCCCAGGTTATATATTTCTAGGGAACATTTTTTCAATAGAAGTGTTACAATTTTCAATGAATTATTTTTTTTAGATTCTAGCCTGGTCAGCCAAAACAGACGTGATGATTGAATGCGAAGGACATCTGTATATATGACCGATAGTAGTAATCGTGTCTGTAAGAAGCAGTGTCGTCGTAAATACGACCTCTTTTCGGCACATACTGAGTCTATAAATTGTAGCCAATGGGATTACAGATGACGAATTTGAATAACTCTGAGACTTGTAAACGGACACACTTTTATTCATATGCAGATTGTAAACGGACACACTTTTATTCATATGCAGTGATTGTTTTCTACATTGACTGCTGATGCGTCAGCGTTATAATCTCATTAAACGTAAATGTATATGCGCATGTACAATGAAATAACAGTACGTATCAGTATTAAGTAATATGTCCGGTTTCCCATTGTTTTTATATTTTCATCAATTTCCTCATATCTCCTTGAATGCGTAATGTGATTTTTATTTGTCAAACCCTATTGTATGCCATTTGCATAACCTAATTGTGAATCAATCACATTTCGGTGATTTCGTACATTAGTTGAACTACTATGCTATTGAACAATAATCACACCCCACATACACACACACAATTCCGTCGTGTTCTTACCTTTGCGGATAAGGGTCGCTTTGCCAGCCCCCTGTGGGTGGCGGTGGTCCAGTAGACTGGGGTTGGTAAGTTTGACCATATTCAATTTGTTGTGTCGTAGTACCCTGGGTGGCTTCTTTTAGTTGGATTGTTCGGACACGGTTTTTGTCTTTTTGGTAATGATACAGCACATATCCGCCAATGGCAGTTCCGATAAGTCCGCCTAAAATCATACACCCGGCGATGTAGAAGAGGTATGTAGCAGCTATCATCACAATGATACCGCCAATCAGTAAGGCAATACCAAGAACCAAAAATATCACAGCATTTCTGCGAACGGCCGGATCTAAGTCGTCGTTGTTGGCCATGGCAACTGAAAACAATATAACAATTCTGTGATTTATATTTTTATGATTGATTTACATATGGATGATGGGATTGTGGCTGTGGTATCATAAGGCGCGCATCGTCGAATCCGCGTGCTAGTAAATGTCAACATAATAACTTAAACATTTTTGACACCTAACTTCGCACAGAAGACAGTGAATATCACGTGATATAAACAATTTTCAACTTTCTCAGTTACAAACTTCCAGCTACATGTTGTGGATATACAAGTACAATCCAAGGGACTTCATGTTATCTTGGGGCGTAAAGTTGCGTGCGTGTCCTTACGCTGAGTCCTAGGAATAGTCTGTCAGTTCACACTCGCAAATAGTGCACGGGGTCGATACGATATATACGGGTACTGGTTGAGTGGTATTTTTTTTACGGTCAGTCATACTGACGTACATGTAGTCATATTTTCTCATTTGTTACATTAGCGACATCAAACCGATGCAAATCACTAATAATGGCTGTTATATAGTATGTGGAATATCACATAAAACTGGCAAATAATGACTGGGGTAGTATACAATACATGTACATGATTCTATACCGGTCAATGGTTCGGTCACTGTCATGTCAATAGCGATTATACTACAGATTTTCGTGCCTATAGGCTTTACACTCTAACCATCGCGAAACATGTTGTATCGAGGAGTGGTGACTCCAGCGAATACGAGTTGTGTTGACCTCACCTTTCTCGCATATCATGGGTCATTGTGCACGAATCGTTGCCGTCGCCGACAGCGACACGGTTACATGTACAACACAATACAACTGTGAACATAACTAACAGTCACCTCAAGACATTCGAACGTTTTGCGTAAACTCACCGTGACCTTGACCGGGCTACACCGAAGAACTGAAAATAAGATTAATGAAAAGAACTTCCCAACATTTCCTCTCTGTCTGGCCGACTAGCTCCGTCACTAAGTGTAAAATGGTGACGTTTCCTGTTCAGCTCACATCCGAATACTTCGGTATACGTCACTGTAAAACCATTGTTGTTGTACGGCACAGAGCTTTTTCCATCTATTGTTACTAGTACCTTCTATACGTATTTTATTGTTTGGAGTTAGCCAATACAAAAATAGCGTGCTTGTAATATAATATATTATTATACATATGTCACCGTAACGCTATAAGTTACAGCGTGCCGTAATTTTCTACCGTATGAGGAAATGCAAATTCCAAACATGGAATGATTACGCGCGTAATTATGTAAATTGTCACATTAATATACATGTACCTAAACAGATTGCAAACAACAGCAACTGTAAATGCCAAAACTTGTATTAATGTGTAGATTTTTAACAGCAGCATTTGTAAACATATGCAGATATCAAGCAGTTACTCATATGATAATTGTAAACTGGCATATTTGTATCCATGGTTACACTTGTATTTGTACGAATATATTAAACAACCACGCGTATTCAGATGTGGTACTGGAAATATAATACGCCCACGTGGTTATATTAAACAGTAGACTGGACGCCAGTAGATTTTCCTGAGCCTGGCGCCCCACCCCCTCTTCAGCCCGCAATAAAAATTGACAAATAAATTGACAAACCCAGCCCACCGGAGAATTTCTAGATCCGCCAGTGTGAGCATGCTTCCATTTCACTCCCTATGTATCTGTTATGTACCTGAACCTGATATCCGCTCAGCATCAGATTTTATAAAATGTGACAGTCCCTCAGAACAAATTTGTTTTTTGTTTTTTTGCGAAAATAGTAACGAAAAATGGGAAACGTCTGCGAATTGGCGTGGGCATTTTGCAGACGCCTTCGTTGGCTCATTTTTATTCTCTAAAAATAAACAAAATCGGGCATTGGGACTATCGACAGTATATATTGATGGTATTGCGGTTCGACCACCATACACCCAACCAAACAACATATGCTGACTTTGTATACATTCTAACCATTTCTCATTTGGTTGCTGGATATTCTTTGTTGGTGGAGGTGTAGCAGTAATAGAAAAAAAAGTATAGGATACGTGGAACACATATTTATTGGATTCGATAGAATGTTACTATTTACAGATACGTTTAACGACACACTGTTGAAACCGTAGATGTGATAGAATAAATGAACCGCGCAAAACAGTTGTTGATACACGCACGACCAAAGTGGCACTCATTATTGCGACATACTCTAACTTGATTGGTGCGTTATAATGCTTTCTCACAAGCCCCTGTGTGACCCCCCCCCCATGATATATTGCTGGCCCATTGGCAAACACTGCGAGTGTCCACGACTTTCAACAAACGTGTACACTCTATGGATGACGGTATGTATGTAATTCCCCGAATTCTCGGACTGCTTGCACTTTGATTGCTCGGCCAGGTAATTCGTCGTCGCCAGCCTGGCGAACCATATTTTCAGACTGAGTGTTTTTCGATAGGTACATGATGTCAAGGGTCGCGTATAATGCATTCCAATTCAGGATGTAAGTGAATGCGGGATCATGCAATGAGGTTAGTTGGCATGTCGGGGAGATGTGTACCTTTGTTGACATCGCATTGCAAGTATCATGGCAAATCACGTTCAATGTTACAATTTGACAATTCATCTGAAATGCAAACTAAAACGCTTTCAAGACACTGTGTTTTCATCGTTGCTAAGACGCACACCACTCTACCATGTATTTATAATAGCTCTGCGTAAGCTGCTGTGGACGCCGGTCGATGAGCCGGTGAAAATAGCTCAATTCGAAAAAATAGCACATTGAAGTAATCCTGGACAACCAAATTTATATATGTTGCACATGTAGGAGTAATCTTGTTACACTGTTCAGGAGAGTCTCAGCAATTGTTCCAAAGTACATTTGTTTAGAGTTATCGGCCTTTGTTTTCATCGTGATGGTTGCTAGGCGGTAAAAATACCCGGATGTCGGCCCCGAGGATACACACCTTTCCAATAAATCGCGCCCTCTATTGACGAGGCACTTCTGTGATGTCAAATGATGTACATGGCTATCAATAATAAAAAATATACGTCACAAAAGCACATCGTCACTAGACGGCACGACTCAGATTGGACAAGAAAATATTGGTGGTCTCCAGGATATCGGTTACGTATTTATTGATGTACTAGTACTTGGCGCTCCAAATCGTATCTCCGGGAATATAAGTACTATACGTAGTGTGAAAACCAATCGGTTAAAAAATCGGTTAGTATTAAGTATTATAAACTTTGAACGAACGTTCATGGTATATCATAATTCAATGTAGCCATTAACATGCAGTATCAAACACCAATATTCAAATTAAGATGCTGAATTGTTCGAATACGTGACCGAGTTAATAAAACATCGAGTTACATGGCCACACCCATATTTTCGAAAACACGTCCACTTTGCACAGCCACGCCCAAATTATAATTCGATAATTACAATAATTATAATTTGTTTAACGTCCACATTCAGTAACTCGTATTTTCAAGCGGGGGAATCGTCACCTGCGCATGCGTCAGATGGCCATAGCGTGTCTTTGTTTACAAAACAAGCGTCTACCCATGAGCCTTTGCGCTTTTAGCGTGTGTCGTTATCGTCGCTTGGGACTCACCCTCCCTCCCTTCGTGCGCAGGTGACGACCCTCCCGCTTTAATTAACAGTTAACCGAACCGGGCAATCGAGATTTTTGTTGTTGTTCAATCTCCACAAACGTGCCCTGCGACTAAAATCAACTTGAAAGATGAAACAAACAGGCTTAGCGCACGGTCCGTCAAAAGTGAATTGCGAAATGCGTAAAGTTAGAACAACAACAATAACAGTCTAAGTCGCCCTCAATATTTGGTTAATTGATAATTAACGTTCGGGTTACTAAATCTGGACGTTAAACAAATTCAAAAACTAAAACTGTTATTTAAAGTTCAATTTATGATAATAAATTGTGAACGCTAATGAAACAAATATTTTCGGTTTATTGTTAATTGAACAAATTGAAAAATATGGGCGTGGTCGTACTCGATGTTTTCGTAACTCGGACAATTAATGTACTGAATCATGTTGCACCTTTAACATAATTCTGTCTAATTCTGTGAATGGTGGATTACGTTTTTGCAATAAAATGTATACGCTTACAAAGGACGCATGCGCATTTAATTAACTAATCTATTATTTCATTGTGAATTGTATTTTTTTGTGTGAATCCCAATACAGTGTGAAATATCGAAAATAAGATTATAAAAATTATTTTTTTTTTAATACGAAAAATTGTTTCAGTTCTTCGTGAGCCAGATACTAAGTTTTGCTATGACGTATATTACACAAACAACTCAAAGTTTAACATATTCAAGAGCAAATACCATATTGTGCGTCAAAAGTTAGTGACTTGGACGGAGAGTAAAATAGAGAAATGCAAATCAAGCGCCACGTCGAATCGGTGACTTAGAATGTTCACTTTGCTATCATTTAAATAATCGACAATCGTCGTCGAGCTAAGTAGTCATATACTTGGTAGTACATGTATGTTGCGCATGACTGTATACGGATCGTGTTGAAGAAATACAGCGAATTAAAGAATATTGCTTTCTGTACAGTTTTCATCTTTATGACGTGTACGTTTTGGATGATGTCATTTGTGATGCGATGTGGGTGATACACCCAGGTTGAAATGATATCTCGGTAACGTAATATAAAGGGTTCCTTACGCACAGAGAATGCATTTGCCACCGGTGACCTCCGATGACATAAACACGCTGTCTAACTACACTCTGTGATCAGACCCGATTCTTTTCATATACAGTATACACATTTTGTTATTACGCGTAAGATTGGTGCTGTTGGCTCTTTGTACCATAGTCAAAAGCTGGTGGCGCCGTCGGTTGTCCATACAACCCGTGATCTGGTGGTGGTCCGTATGCTGCTGCCATAGGTTGTCCATAGCCTTGTGTCATAGCCTGACCATATGATGGTGGCTGTGGTTGTTCGGGTGGTCCATGTAGACCATCTTCTGGATACACAGGTGGCAACCCTGGTGGTCCCGGTGTGTAACTGGAAATAAACCAATATGTGTCTAGTACAGAATTCATTCCAGGAATTAATTGGATTCCAAATGCTACGATAGCCAGAATTCGACTGTAAATGTGATCAATTTTGTGAAAACTGACAACATACAAACTTGTGGGCTAGAATGTGTATTTTTTAATTTGTGTTTTAAAAATATATATATATATTCTATAATAAGTAGCGCCCTCGAGATGCTTCTATAACACCAAATTACGAGTGAATACAGTGTCGCTGAAAACGATAACTGCGTTTGGTTGTGTGGTCACTCTCGATTTAGAATATTTCTTTATTTTCTATTCTTTTTATGGGCGTACGACTATATATCGAGCAATATCGACGCATTTGACCAGCTTTTATTACTTTTATTGCGTCACAGAAACACGCGACGTTCCGTCCGGTTATGTCAACAAATTGTAGGAAGGTTCTACGTTGGATCGTAGCACGCAAAGTCGCCGTCTCGTGTATACAAACAAAAAAACCAAATGATGCAACGTTTTTAAAATGTCGCGGTGTTTCAAACATTTCCTGCCATTTGCAGTATATTAGCGAATGGCGTACTCAGACACAGATGCCACGTGATACCGTGAACCTTGAAAAGTTGTGTATTCTTTGCGCCTATTTTATTTTGTAACGTAGCTTTCCCGGATCGGTACAGTATAAAGTTTCGTAACACATATGCGACAAATTTGACTGAATCAACATAATATATTGTAGAATATACTTTTGTTCAAATTAGCTGCACCAATTAGCGAATTAGCTGAATATGAACATGCTAGCTAAAAAACCACATGTTTTACAGTGGTGGGGAAACACTCACCCTGCGCCTGGGATAGGGTAGGGATCATTTTGCCATCCACCAGCAGGCGGCGGTGGACCACTG